TTTTCAGAGTCTGGATGTACCGGATCCTGTCCTGTAATTCGAAGTATTGGAGAAGATCCTGAGGAGATACTTACCTGTGCTTCCTGGTGCTCAGCTGCCTGAATTCGCCTTCCACCACTTGCCCTTGCAGTCTGCCTTCTCATCATCCTGGAAGGAGCAAAACCCTCAGCCATCAAACAGCCATACAAACTACCTGAACTGTAAGCCTTTCAAAGAACCCAAACATTCAGTTTTTGGACCAAATCCTCGTCCAAGAATAATCCTCCTCCTCTGTCTTCACAGACCCTGAACCTGCTTGTAAATAGTTTATTTTTCACTGTAAATAAACTTTTTCAATTACAGTTGAGTCCGGTTCTGTTTTCCTCTCAGTCTGTTCACCTGGGTAACTCCACTTTATAACAGAATGCTCCAGCCAGAAATCACCCAGAACATGACTGAGAGAGAACAGTCCCAACTCTCCCTGTCCTCACAGGCAAAACGCATCGACAACCATGATGCGACCCTGCAAAAGATCCTGGAACTACAGAAGAGTAATCAATCCAACCTCCAGGAGATGGGAGGTATGGTTTTTGCTTTAACTCAAAAAGTTTCTACACTGTTACCTACGTCCCGAAGTGTTCCACCAGAGAACCCCAATCCTCAAGTCGCAACCAGTCATCGACACCCAGCCCAGTGAGATAATTTTCAGACCGTCTGATTATTTTTCTTGTGATCCCGATCACTGTGGTGGTTTTCTTCTGCAGTGTCGCTTGGCTTTTAAACGAGCTCCTAAGACTTATGCTTCAGACGCTTCCAAGATAACATACATTATAAATCAATTAAAGGGGATGCGCTTCGATGGGCCAACGCCCACCTGTCAACTCGATCTGTCGAGACTCTAACTTTTGCCTGTTTTCTAAAAGATTTTGAACTTGTGTTTGATCATCCACTCCAGCAGGAGGAAGCAGTGAAGCGCCTCCTGACATTACGGCAAGGCAGAACGTCCGTCGCCGAACACGCTCTCGAGTTCCGGATTATTGCAGCCCAAACAAAATGGGATGAGTTGGCTTTAAGAGGTACCTTTCTTCATTCATTGTCCGATTACATTAAAGATCAGATTGCCGCCCGAGACGAACCCAATAGTTTGGACGATTTAATAAAATTGGCCACTCGTCTGGATAATCGCCGTTCAGAACGAAATAGTGAAAAGAACTACAATTCCCTGTTTCCGGGTTACGTCTCACACCGCAAAACTACAACTGCTACACTGCTGGCTCAACTCCTGTTTCTGAGGCTCGTTCTACTCAGAGGAGGTCCGTTCATTCTTCAAACGAAGTTGAGGTGTAACCTATGGAGATCGGACGAGCTCACCTAACACCGGAAGAGAAACAGGAACGTAGAAAAGCGCGAGCCTGCATGTACTGTGGTAAGATTGGACATTTTGTCGCTCGTTGCCCGCTCCGGGGAAACGAATTCTCTCACCATTAAGGCAGGAGATCTTGGTGGGAAATTCTTCTCTTTCTCCTGCACCTCGTTTAACACTCCCAGTGACCATTTTGTCTAAACAATGTCAACTTCCGATTGCAGCACTCATCGATTCCGGAACGGAACAAAACCTCATCAGCAGGGACCTGGTAATCCAGCTAGGCTTACCTACTCAGAACCTAACGACCCCGATGAAAGTTAATGGAATTACGGGACAAAG